GAGCTCATCCTCGCCGTCTCGTGAGTCAATGACACGCTCTACGACGTGGAAGTCGAGCTGGCTCTCGCGCTCAGCTTCGCGTGCGACCATGTGTTGCTCGTACTCTTCTGGGTCGGCGTTCTTGCGGCTGTAGACATACATGTCGTTCTGGACAGGGCCCTTGTAGTAATTGTCCAACTTGCGGTAGCCCTTGTATGATGCAGCCGTCTTGTAGTCTTCCCATGTGGAGTGGTAGTGTGCCTTGTCTTGCCATTTGACCAAGTATTCGAAGTCGCGCTTGTCAAAGGAAGGGTCCATTTCTGCCATCAGTCAGCACAAGACAGCATGAAAGATCGATAGCTCGCCTTACCTAATCCATCCTTTACTCGATGGTCAAGGATCTTGTCAATGACGGGGCCAGTATCCTCTGGCGCGGTCGCCCAGTAGTTGGGTGTCATATCGTCATCATCCTCCACGAACTCGTCCTCATCTTCCTCCTCGTTGTAGTTCGCAACCTGTGCACTGCGGCGTACAGAGAACCGGACCTCGGCTTGGGATGGAGGCTCGCGGCCTGCAGCAACGGCTTGCTGACGTTGGCGTTGCTTCTTGGTTGGGATATTGCGACGAGCACCCACGTAGCCATCCGACTCGGAGTCGGAGTTGGCTGAGCGGTAGACTGGTGTGGGTACGTTTGAGGCTAGGTAGGCGGATTAGTACGACTTCAGATGGACAGGATGGGGCAGACAAACTCTTGCGCGAGGCTGTCCTCTGTCGCTTGCGGGGCTGATCAGAGCTGTAGTCCTCATCATCTTCGTCATCACTATCCATCTAAAGAGAGTTAATAATAGCTTCTTCTGTCATCTGAGAGTCACTTACGATGCGACGACTAGGGCGGGCACGACCCTGAACTGCGGTTAGCTCATGTGCATAGAGAAGAGACTGGAGGTGCCACGTACGCTGCGACGCAGGCCATAGAGCTCCGGGTTCTGTTCTATATAGTCTTCCTTCTCGTCGCTTGCCTTGCGCTTGCGCGGTCGAGTTGACTCTTGTGATGAACTCCGGGCGCGGTCGCTCTCTTCCTGCGCAGACGGCGGTGACTCAGAGTCGTAATCGCCGTCTGGCTCGCCCTCGGCATCGACATCGTCGGACGAGTCTGAAGCAGCAGCCACTTCGTCGTCTTCGTCGTATTCCTCTCCTGGCGCGTCGACATCGGAGGCTTGGTCAACTGCGGCGGCCTCTTGTGAGTCGGACTGCTCGCTATCGCTGTGGTGGGAAGAGCTATCGGCGGTCGCCGTATGGGCTGCGAGAGGCGACAAATGACCGTTTGTGTATGGTACCGAGGCGACATGGCCCGGTGAAGAGGGCATCATGATGGACGTGGCTGTGGTTGATGGTCAGCACGATATTTCAACCTTCTGTGGGCTCCAGCGGCTCGGAGCGGGTGCGTTGGATAGAGCAGAACTACGCGATCCAGAATAGCCAGAAAGCGACCAGGAACCAGGGTGAAGACTTGTGCAATGGAAGTCTGATGGAATGCGGTGCTGGTGGATGAGCGCTTGACGGAAGAAGGGCGGTGGAGTCGCGTGAGCCGGTGGGTGCGCGGACTGAGTATGCAAGGCGATAGGGAGCTTTTATATACGCTCTTTGCGCAGCGACGGACCGTGTTCTACGTGAGAGGCAAGTTGCTGGATGCGTGGGCGTGATCTGGCGATGGGATTGATGGACACGGACAAGGCCGACAGCAGGCAACTCCGGCAGGTTCGCGGGTGAAAGTTACGCGACAACAGACTCAAAAAGGGAATATACGTACAGTCCATGTCCAAGACACCCTCGAAATGGGTAGTGGGGGTTGGTGGTCTTGGGGGTGAGGTATAGGCTAGGTAGGGTCGTGATCTCTGGAGCGCGGAGGTTCCTTACAGCGTTCAGCGCTAGCCCCAATTTCAGCCTTGCCCTTTGTATACGGCGAATCAGAAGCCAGCGAGTAAGCGCACCTAAAGGCCGACAACGTCAGTGTCCACACTTCTTTCACGTTGTTTCTTTCTACTCTGTGCAGTCGTCAGGGATACCTCCTTCATTCTCCGCCTCCAGACTCCGAGCGCGCCTCTACAGCAGTGACTCTCGCCGAGTCCACGCACGCACTGCTTAGCCGCCAACTTCTTCACAGTTTGCGACTCCCAGGCAATCCACACCAGCAATCGCCAGAACAACAAAGCCGCCGCCAACATGTCTGACAAGCTCACCCGGTATGTCACATGCCTTTGTACACCTTTCCCATGCCTATTTGCTAACACAGTCCAGTATTGCCATTGTCAACTCGGACAAGGTACCCCACTACCCCTCCACACACAAAAATTGATCCCCGACTAACACGAGCATCTTCGCCATGACAGTGCAAGCCCAAGGCAAGTGCATCCCCCCCTTTGCGCCCTCCTTATCCTAACACGTCGCAGAAATGCCGACAAGAATGCAAAAAGTCGTGCCCAGTCGTCCGCACGGGCAAACTGTGTATCGAAGTCGACTCGTCCTCCAAGATCGCCTTCATTTCTGAGCGCCTCTGCATTGGATGCGGTATCTGCCCAAAGAAATGTCCCTTCGACGCCATCAACATCATCAACTTGCCCACCAACCTCGAGACCCAGGTCACCCATCGATACTCGGCCAACAGCTTCAAGCTGCACAGGCTGCCTATGCCCCGTCCGGGCCAGGTCCTGGGTCTGGTTGGAACAAACGGTATTGGCAAGAGCACAGCACTGAAGATCCTCAGTGGCAAGCTTAAGCCTAACCTTGGTCGCTACGACAACCCGCCAGACTGGGAGGAGATCCTAAAGTACTTCCGTGGTTCTGAACTTCAGAGTAAGAGAAGCAAATTTTTGGTCAAAGGACTAACTCGCTAATGGCGCGCAGACTACTTCACAAAGGTTCTAGAAGACAACCTCAAGGCTGTCGTCAAGCCCCAGTATGTCGACCAACTTCCAAGGGCCATCAAGTCAACCGACCGCTCCGTGGGCAAGCTCATTGGAGCCCGCTCGCAGATGGATAACCTCGACGAGATGATTGACGAGCTGGAGCTGCGCCACATTTTCGACCGCGACATCGGACAACTGTCTGGTGGAGAGTTGCAGCGTTTCGCCATTGCTCTCGTCTGCGTCCAGCAGGCCGACGTATACATGTTCGACGAGCCGTCATCTTTCCTCGATGTCAAGCAGCGTCTCGCAGCTGCCCGCAAGATCCGTAGTCTGCTCCGCCCCGATGACTACGTCATCGTCGTCGAGCACGATTTGTCCGTATTGGATTATCTCTCCGACTTCATTTGTGTCCTTTACGGAAAGCCTGCTGTCTACGGTGTTGTCACCCTGCCTGCATCCGTCCGTGAAGGTATCAACATCTTCCTGGATGGCAACATCCCTACCGAGAACTTGCGTTTCCGTGAGGAATCGCTGCAGTTCCGTATCGCGGAAGCCGGCGACGAATACATGGTGGACCACAACCGTGGCTACAGCTATCCCAGCATGAAGAAGACCCTCGGAAGTTTTGAACTCAACATCGAAACCGGTTCCTTTACTGACTCCGAGATCATTGTCATGATGGGTGAGAACGGTACTGGAAAGACCACTTTCTGTAAGATGCTCGCTGGTGCTCTTCAACCTGACGGCGATATCAAGGTTCCCAAGATGAGCATAAGCATGAAGCCCCAAACCATCACTCCCAAGTTCCAGGGTACCGTTCGCCAACTCTTCTTCAAGAAGATCAAGGCCGCTTTCCTGAGCCCTCAGTTCCAGACTGATGTCTACAAGCCGCTCAAGATGGACGACTTCATCGACCAGGAAGTGCAGAACCTCTCTGGTGGTGAATTGCAGCGTGTCGCCATTGTCTTGGCCCTCGGTATCCCAGCTGATATTTACCTTATCGACGAACCTAGTGCCTACCTTGACTCCGAGCAACGTATTGTTGCGTCACGTGTCATCAAGCGCTTCATCATGCACGCCAAGAAGACTGCCTTCGTCGTCGAGCACGATTTCATCATGGCCACCTACCTCGCTGATCGTGTCATTGTCTTTGACGGCCAGCCTGCTGTCAACGCTCGCGCCAACAAGCCTGAGTCTCTTCTCACTGGTTGCAATACCTTCTTGAAGAACCTGGACGTCACCTTCCGCCGTGACCCCAACTCTTTCCGTCCCCGTATCAACAAGGACAAGTCTCAGCTCGACCAAGAGCAGAAGTTGAGCGGAAACTACTTCTTCCTCGAGGATGATAGTTGAAAAGGTTCTTGAGAAATGGAACACGCCTCCCTCCCAGCGGCGCCCGCGAGGGCACGTCAAGACCGGGATGACTAAAAAGGGCAACAAGAAGCGTGGCTTGAGAGGATGCGCTGTGAGCCTGCTAGATGATGGGGAGGGTGCGGACGAAGAACTTGAGGAAGATCGCTGCCTTCTCATCGGCGGTCGACCTCCTGCGCTGGTCATCTCGAATAGTGCATAATATCGACAAGGAAACGCACTATGTCAGCCAGCCCGGGTCAAGTTAGGTGACCGCCGAATATTTGGAGGATGTTGCAACACGTCTGTTGCAGATGACAGATTTCGAAACGTTTTAAGCCGAAAATTCATCTAGTCATTAATTTCACCAACACGATAGAGAGCATACAATGACAGTACAGATGATGTTCTCCGCCATAAATAATTCGGCAACTCTCCTTCAATACCATCTCGTGATACCCAGCAAACTTCATATACTCTTTTCTCGTCAACTTCATTATCTAAGATAGGTATCAAGGATCTACATATATTCACTCACGAAGTGCATCTCGCAAAGGTTAGCTTGGGTAGACTAGTGCTCACGTTGGTGGACAAATTATGTCACGAACGCCCTATCATGTTCCGGACGCCCTAACATGTTCTGAACGCCCTGTGAATTTCACGCTAGCACAGAGAAATATCAGGTACGGCGAATCTAGTGCTGTTTACAAACTTCACGAAATAATACTGGACGACAGATAACTCTAATCAGTCACACTTTGCACTATGGCTACTGCTCCATATGCTGATTCAATGGAAAGTTCGCCTCCACGATCAGCTGCTGCCAATGAGTCGGATATGGAACTCCGTGCCAACAATCGAGACCTTGATGAGATGCGTGTAACGGAACCGGAATTCTCGCTACCTCCCGTCGACGGTGGAATGGCTGCATGGCTTTTCCTGTTCTCGGCCTTTGTTCTGGAGATTCTTGTCTGGGGTAAATCTTTCCGTCTCTGTTCACATGTAATTAAGCCAACGCTTATCCTGACTAACGCTTTGCAGGCTTCCCTTTCGCTTTCGGTATATTCCAAGAATACTACACCTCGAACCCACCATTCGCCGGCTCCCGGAACATACCTATTGTCGGGACTTGCGCAATGGGCCTGATGTACCTTCTGTCGCCGCTCATCTCCGGTTTCTTCGCGTGGTATCCTAATACTCGACGTCGATGCATCATCATCGGGCTGATCATCATGTGTCTTTCTCTGGGACTCAGCTCGCTGAGCCAGACCGTTCCGCATCTAATTGCTAGCCAGGGAGTTTTCTATGCAATTGGAGGTGCGCTGTGCTATGTTCCAGTGGTTGCATTTATGGAACAATGGTTCGTGAAAAGGAAGGGCTTGGCTTTTGGAATTATGTGGGTATGTCTATACCTACGAACCTCTTTCGCATCCTGTCTTTTCCTAGGGAAACATTCTCGTAGCTTTTCTCTGCCGACTGACTCTGTGACAGGCTGGCACTGGTATCGGGGGCATCATAATTCCCCTACTACTGCAATACCTCCTCGGTAGATACGGCTTCCGCACCACTCTTCGTATTTGGGCAGCTGTTCTTTTCGCAGCCACCGTCCCCTTGACTCTATATCTCAAGCCGCGCCTTCCCATTTCGCAAGCCACCAAGCACCGGAAGTTTAACTTGAGGTTCCTCCGAAACAAATCGTTCCTCCTTTTTCAACTCGGCAACGTTCTTGAGGGCTTCGGCTACTTCGTCCCCTCTATCTACCTCCCCACATACGCTAGAACTCTCGGCGCATCAAGCCCTGTGGCTGCCCTGACCCTCATCATGATCAATGTGGCCGCTGTCTTTGGTTGCGTGGTCATGGGTGGAATCGTGGACCGCTGGCATATTACGACATGCATCTTCTTGTCGACTGTTGGATCCACGCTCTCTGTTTTCCTTCTTTGGGGGTTCTCTACCAATCTGCCTCTTCTCCTCGTCTTTTGTGCTGTATATGGTTTATTTGCAGGGAGCTATTCAACGGTGTATCCAGGCATTATGAAACTCCTGGAAGGCAACGAGCAGGGCACCGACTCAATGATGGTATTCTCGGTGCTTGCAGCTGGTAGGGGTATTGGAAATGTTGCTTGTGGGCCGATGAGCGAGGCATTGTTCCGAATGGGGGACGTCGGAGGCAGAGGGTTGTATGCCAGTGAGTATGGGCCGCTTGTGCTACTCACTGGTATCAGCGCTGCATTGGGTGGCGTAAGCTGCTTTGGGAGGATTGTAGGATGGATTTGAGTTCTGATCTGAAATGGTCTTGCATGTTCCAATAACCGTGCCAATGCAAATAACTCAAAGCAGTCATGAATTTCCCGCCATGTATGTCCAGGGCAGCAAACGTTTTGGTCAATTGCTCTGGACGTTTGTCTGGAACCCATGTTTGCTGCCATCAACATGGAATCCCTACTTGTCTCTTAAAAGGCTCTAGCCACTCTACAAAATCTGCAGGCGTTTGATTCCATGCATCCCCTCCATTGTAGAGTAACCACCTAGCCTGATGCTGTATTTCTGCATCCGAAGGTACATGGGAGTTTGGGTTCTCCGTGCACATGGTAGCTGCCACCCAGCGTTTCAAGTTTGCCACAAATCCACGATAAAAGTTCGCATCCTCTATGTGGTAATTGGCCAGGCCCTGCAATTCGGATACTTCAGTCAAGGGTGCTGGTACGGCAGACATATGATCTGCTTGGATTAGATCTACTGCAGATGGGTCGACCTCATACTCTGTCGACAAGAACACTGGAGGCGATGGTGAAGAGGTTGGTAACCATGGAAAACTCTCGCTCGAACCCGATCCTAGGCTCAACTCAGACACCAAATGGTTTGTTACATCCTTTGCAGATATGCCATTCCTCTCCTTAAATTTGGAAAGCCAATCTGCGTTGGAGCGCACAAGTGTGGTAATCCAACTCGTGAAGCTCTCAGATGAAGTGAGTGAGTCTTCCTCCTTGCGCCGGATGATTTCGCAAGCCTCGTTTTGGATGTGCACATCGTGTACGTGAACATCCATTAGCCTCTCGAATTCGACGAATATCCGGAGCTGCGATTCGAATTGGCATTTTTCGAATAGATAGTGCTGGCCATGAATTTTTAAAAAGGATATTTCACCATCATTCGATAGCTCCATCGATCCAGATCTTGCTTCTCTGATCAGATCTTCTGACGACATGATCAAATCGCGAAGCCAAGAGTCACCTTTTCTTAATGCCGAAGTCGAAATGTCCTCTCCACCCTTGTGTTCGCATGCGATGATGATCCGGCATGCTTCCAGTTGCATTGCGTTATGTGTCGGCAACATGCCTGTTCTGGTATAGCAGTCATGCGTAAAGATTTCCATCTCGGACTTAATAAGCTCATATGCGTCTATAGGTAAGCCGTGCAAGGCATTACTAGCCTTGATCGGAAATGGTAATTGACGCTCGAGATGAATGAAATCTAACATGGTACAATTAGTTCTCATAAACGTTAGCAAGACCGGAGGGCACAGAACTCACAAGGTGGCAGAGAGTTCTCGACCCATTTCAGAACCTCATCATCAAATCCCCATTCGCCTTGCCATTCTGCCATCGTGGAGCCTGACTTGAAATGCTCAGCTAGATGGTCGATTCGCTCTCCCCAGGAAGTCATCCATGCATTGCAAAATCCACATCGTGATCGCACATCCAGCTTGCATATCTTCCAGTGTTTCATAGACCAGTCTTCATATTTAGCCCCATGAACGAGTTTCAAGTGCTGCGTAAGGTGGTCCTTGCGGAGAAACGTTCGTTCCTTCAAGTCACGTCCGCTACACAACAAATGATTGTGCGATTGCATGTGCGCATCATCGGGCGACATCTGCCCACAGAATGTACAGAATAGTCCTGCAACGCCAGGTTTCGTCGCAAGTGGGGAGTCTGATCCACAGACCCATTGCTCGAGAGCTAGGTGCAGCGACTTCTCATGACGCTGCCAGTCATGCTTTGTCTTGAACGTGTCGGTGCAAAACGTGCATTGATATGGTAACTCCACAGCTTGGAAAGAGCTGACTTCTGCCCTTGGACGGCGGCGTTTTCGTCTTGAAATGCGCGTACTTCTATGAGAGGATTGGGATCCCGAATCGGACGTTCCGGCACTGCTCGCAGAGGACATATAGTAGGGAGATGACCAGACATCGTTCTCGTTGGGGCCAGGGCTTTGGAGATCGTAATGGGCTAGAGAACGACGTCAGCAATAACCAGAGAACTGTGTAGTAGCGCAGTAAACATACATGCAGAAGCTCCTGACCCTGACGCTATCGCTTGCGCGATACATCTCATGGCCGCACCCTCTTCTTCTGGCGGGGAATCAACCCACCGTTGCAGCGGATCCTTGAACTTTGTTCTTTCTCTTAATGCTGGAGTCCCGGGTCGAGGAAGGATGTCAATAGGATCCGTCCGCGAACCACGTACTTGTGGAGAAGCCGGTCTCACGTATCGCATACGGCCCCTCCGTCTGCTATTCGCGAACCAGTTGGTAATCTGCTTCCGATCCAAACCAGTCTGGCTTTGCAGGAAATTGATGTCATCGTCGTTTGGGTATGGGTCCTGCTTATGATGCACAAGCCAATTGTTCAGAATGCGAAGTACGTTTCTTGAGAAACGAGCACCAAGCTTAGGCGCAACAGTTGGCATAGGTGTACCTGTCTGAGATTGCAAGGTGTCTCTCCACTCATCTTCAAAGATAAGAGAACCATTGCGATTCGAGGTCATTGGGCCTTCGTCCGTAGATCTTGTTGGTCGGTCAGACGAGACCCTGTCGAACTCAGAATGAGAAGGCGAATATGCAAAGAAAGGAAGAGTCGTTAAGTCGTAGAATCGTTGAAAGTCTGAGCATATGTCAAAATCGACTGTGGTTTAATCCAAAGCATGGAGCAGAAGTGACCAGCGACGGAGGATCGTAGGAGTCAAGACTACGGATAGCCGCTAACTCGAAAACAGAATAGTGCATGTCATATACGCCTTTCGACCTTTCCGCAATGAACCAAGTCTCATTCACTAATTTGATGGAGAGGAAACAAGTACGGCCACTGGACGTTCAGGATATTGAGGCATTGAGCTGGAAGGCTTCGACATCACGCATGCGCAAAATAATGATAAAAAAGTATGTTCTAGTATTCATCTTCGTATGTATGGCTCATCTCATGCACGATAAACCCGCCAGTTCTAATAAAGAAAAGACACGCTAAAAGAGAAGAAGAGAGGAAGAAGGGAATATCCATGTCCAGAATATCCAATTTCAGCGGTTCAGCAGCGGGGGTATAATGATGGTGCCCAGTAAACGCCGGCGACAATGCAATGTATACAACAAAAGAAAAAGTGTAATGTACTGTGAAGACCCAACTGTTTTAGCCGCGCCACATGAACTCCTCGTCCATAGGCATCGGCGTCCGGTTTGTCAATTCCAGACTCTGGTTCATGAGCTCTGCATCCTCTTCTTCTTCAGATCGTCGACTCGCCTTGCTAAGCGGCGTGGCCATGGGGCTTGTCCGCATCGACAATTCGGCATCAAGACTAGCCGAGAGAGACTTTGTGTCTTCTTCTGGTTGCGTAGGTAGCGGTGCGCTGTCGGTGGAAGCCTTGCTAGCCCTCTTTTTCGCGCGCTCTTGCCTCGCCTCTTCTCTTTGTCGCATGAGTTCCTGTTCATGAGCAACAGCTTTCGCACGGCGTTCCTCGACGTCTTTGCGCTTGATGACTTTTCCGAGAGCGTCTGATGCTTGAATCAAGCCATCGATACTGATGGCGTGGTTAGTCATCTGATGGTTGATGTAGTGGTATACGCCGGCTGGAGTATCGCATTGGAGGAGGGCTTTTTCGTTTAGTTTGAGCAGTGCGAGCGCAATTTGGAAGAGAAAGGTTGATCCGTCGTGCATGCAGAGGACGACGTCCCAGACACGGAAAAGTGCTTCGGCAGACAGACAATCTGTGAAGACGGACAAAAACCATTGAAAGGTCAGGGCCTCGAGCTCGATCTCTAGTTCGTCGAGATGGGCTGATAGCCTAGGCAAAATCTCGCTGACGTAGGAGCGAAGGACGGATTGGTCGGCGCGGGAGGTGAGAAGGTGCTGGTCATAGTAATGTTGAGGTAAAATCTCTTCGATCATCGCAGTGAGAACCCAGAACGCATCTTCCGGGGTGGGCATGATGAGCAACAGGCATGCAGTGATCAGATTCATGCCCTGACAGTAGCCAACCTCTGGATTGCGGCGGGAGTAAGCGAGGAGTACTTCCTGAAGCTTTTGTACACCAGGACCAGTACGGAAGAAGATGTTGTCGGTAAGGGTGCGGGTGATGTCCATCTGGATCTGCGTTGCAATGGTAGGGTCATCCTCGCCATTGTTAACCAGGTCTTCATAGTAGCCTGGCATACGCAAATGCAGCGCACCGCTCCCCTCGGCCCAGATGGCGGCTCTCATATTGACGGGTATGCCACCCAGAACAAGGCGACGGAATTCCAACCACTTGGCACGCCCGATCTTGCCTTTGTTACCCAAGCCTGCGATGCCTACCAACTCACCATCGGCAAGAAATTGTTCAGGCATTGCATTAGCTTTGCCATTCTCGCCGATACTGGCAACGTCGCCTTCGCGCTTGTTTTGCGCACGTACTTTTCGCAAGAAGTCATTCCACTTGACAGTCCTTTCTCTTTGAAGATTGTCGTGTAGCTCACTCATCTGCTCTAGTAGGGACTGGACGGGGTCAAGCTGCGGCGGATATTGGCTGATGGGTGTAGACGGGCCTGGCGAGGTACTTGTGACTGAAAGCTCTGCATTACCTGATACGATGCGTGAGGGTGATGGCTCTGGGTTGACGCTTGTTGTCGGTACGGATCCTCGCTTCATTAACGTGATTTGGTTCTGGCCAATCTTGAAAGAGGTCTCGCCTTCAGCAGACTCTACTGTGGTGATAGCAGCTGCAGCTGGAGTATGTGACAGTAGCTCAGTTGGATGCGTGGCCAGCTTCAGGTAGTCGGCCCAGGTCTTGCTAGCTGGCTGACTCGGTTGGTTGTCGGAGTCGGAGCTGGATGGGCGTACGGTGCCATCGTTCTGGTCTACAGGAGCGGAACTTGCATGTTCTGGATCTTCATCCAGAGCAAGATGATTGAGTGCAGTCCTGCCGTCGCCGAGTGATTCAACATTGCTACTGCGCTTCTGCCTGATGAGCTCGGCTGCTGCCTCACTCTGCCTCTTCTTGCGACGCTGGTCATAGATGAAGCCGAATCTATCAGTCAAATACTCGCTACTGCCGATAAATCTGTTGTGCTGCTGTACTAGTGTCGGTGGGCGCGAGTCCTCTGGTAGGATTCGGTCCATTTCCACAGGTCCTAGATTACTCATTCCACGGGTGGGCTGAGTCGGACCGAGGCCGTTGGATATATTCTTGGGCTGCTCTGTCGTAGTGCTTTTGATGGTTCCATTGGGGCCCAAGGCACGACCTCGCCTTTGTGTGCTTGCTAGCGACGACTTTGCCGACTGCGCAGTCTTGGTCGAGTCCATAGAAGGCGCGCGGTCAACAGCGTCCGATACAGTGGACTTGCGGCCTCGCACAGCATTAGCCTTGTTAGTATTTGCAGAGTTGTTGCCTGCAACCATCTTCAACGCCCAACTTGCTAATGATGTCGACGATGATCTACGCGCCGATGCGTCTATAGCATGTTCCTGGCTGTTGAGTCGGCGCAAGGCGGGCACAGCACCAGTGGGAGGTACGAATAGATCGCTGGCGAGGGCTTTTCGTGGTGGTTTTGCTCCGCTAGATGCGCGTGACCGTGTATGTCCCATAATCTCTGCCTCTCTATCCACGTTGCTAGCCACAGAGGGAGCGCGACTGCTCTTTCTGCTCGTGCCAGTCCAAATGAAATTCTTCCAGTTTTGTTTGCTTGGCGTTTCCGACACGACTGAGTTGATGGACATGACTTCTGCTTGTGGCGCTGAATTGCCCGTGTCCATGCCCAGAGCATCGGGATGCTCAGCTAGTTCGTCTTCCATGGCTCTGGCTAGTCTGTCCTCCATGGGATCGTCGGGGTGCAATCCGGTTGCTGCGCTATCGCCCCTCGTCCGCGTTTTGGTGAGGCCATTGCCTTGGTCCTTGCTCTTCTCCAGCTCGCGCAGTCGGTTCTCAATGTCCATGTTGGAGACCTCGCACTCCTGCAGCATCTTCCTCAACATGCGCTCCCGCTCCTCGGCTCTTCGTCGCAGGGCGGTGATTTGCGCATCGCGCTGGGCCAGGTCCCCGGCAAGTTGCTTGACAAGGGCCACTGCGCCCGTCTGCCGCAGCGCATCCTGTATGCTCTCGTCGCTGGCGAAGTGTAGGTTTCCAGGGACCTTGGCCGACTCGGTGGGAGTGTCGTCGAAGAGGGCGGAGCGGTCGTTGGTGGCGGACGAGGCTGCGACCAGACTGCCTACTATCTGCTGTGTCGACTTGGTGACCTTCCTAACAGTAGACACGGGCGTAGTGCTCTTGCTGAGGTCTGGCGGGGGGACCGCCTTGACCGTATCCGGCGACGCAACCGTCCTGCTCTCTGCCGTCTTGACGCTTTCTTCAGGCTGTGGTGTCGAGCGGAACCAGCCGTTTATGCGCGACTGTGCCGGCGACGTCTCGGGGCTAGGCGACAGCGAGGGGAACGAGGTGAGGCTCTTGGTGTCGACTTCGGGCGAGGGCGCCCGGCTGCGACTCCGGCTGAGAGACGTGTTGGAAGAGCGCTTCGAGGGGCGCATGCGCTGTATGCTGCGGTTTCGTGGGTTGGATATGGTGGAGCTCTGCGAAGCCGTCCGTACTAGATCAACAGCGCGCGGGGGGTCGATTGCCGCCATGTTTGTAGAGTCTGACTACAAGCACGCGCATTCGTGTAGTCGGCGGCGAAACTGTGTCGGAGCGAATATGGTGCGGAGACGAGCAGTCATCGAAATGTGCGTGTGTGTATACGTTATGCGTGGTGGACGTCTGTTCTCGCGTGCATGGGTTCGTATGCAAGTGGAGGCGCTGCGTCATATGGCGAGACGATCCCTTCTAGTAGTACTCGTCGCCCCACGCTTCTTTGTATGTGTGAGCAGCTGCAAAAAGACTTTGAAAAATGCCACGTCCTCAGGGGCAGACAAAGCACACGGCGGATATTACAAGTTATGAAGACGCAAGGGGCACCGGCACAGACAAGGCACGACTCTTGGGTGTGGGTGGTGTCAAGCAATCAATCATTCCCGAGCCGCTAGGTCGGGTTTGTGCTTGTGCAGCATTGCAGCCCTACAGCCACATTTCCACCCGAAACACGTTCCCTGGCGATCTCCCTTTTATTCCCAAGACCCTGGCCTGCTAAACACGCCGAACTATGTTTCGCATCTGCCATGCCCGTCACCGACGAGGAAGCTGCATTGGCGGCCGTTGCGACCCTGCACTCCTTGTCCCCTGAGCAGACTGAGGCCCTGGACGGCATCAACGCCATTCTGCACAACGGCGAGCCCTTTGTCGACGTCCATGAGCTGTTCGCCCTGTATAATCTTCTCTACTTCCGAAAGCTACTCCTCCCACGTGTTGAAGTCATCTGGTCGCCGCGCTTGACTCTGGTAGGTTTTCTTTGCGCTTCACAATTGCTTTCTGCGACCGTCTCATCCACGACTTCTGAAGCCGGCCTCGTGTCCGGACCGTTGCCCCACACGCTTCTAGACTGCCGTGTCAGACAGCGGCTAACAATAGACTCAGTGCGCTGGCATCTGTGAGTTATCCAAGGACCCCAAGACCGGAAAGTTCACGCGCATCCGTCTGAAGCTGTCGACACCTCTGCTGCAGTACCGTCCACGCTCCGACACCATCAACACCCTGCTCCACGAGTCGATCCATGCCTACTTCTTTATCACCACCTCGTGGAAGCACTCGCGCGGAGATGATGGAACTGGACATGGCGTTGGCTTCCAGCTGCTCGCAGACGCCGTAAACAACCACGGCAACTATCAAGTCACCATATACCACACCTTTCACGATGAAGTCGACAGCTACCGAACACACGTCTGGCAGTGCGACGGGCCTTGCAAGAACCAGCCCCCGTACTTTGGCCTGGTCAAGCGAGGCATGAACCGAGCTCCTGGCAAGGGTGACACGTGGTACTCGAGACATCAGGCCGAGTGTGGGGGGGCATTCCAGAAGGTGCAAGAGCCAGCGCCGACCAAAAAGCAATTGGAGGCCATGAGCACCAAAGAGCGCGCGGGACGACAGAAGAATAAGCTGGATAACTGGATCAAAAAAGACGTCAAAGTGGAGGGTAAAACCCCTGCTATGCCCATTGTCATTGGAGCAGAGGATGATGCTTCAACATCTTTTCAAGCTGGCCAGAAACGGCCGCTAGTGGGCGAGGACCATGAGCCTGTCGTCCAGAAGAAGTTGCTTGTCGACTGTCCGATCTGTAGTATCAGATTAGCCGAGTCCGATATCAACGAACATCTGGACGTAGAACACCTTTGATCTCACAAATAACATTTGCGAAGGCGAGTGTGCTACGTCATTGCGCATTAGAACTGTGCCACGTCTCGGATCCGTGTTACCTCTCATCTGTTGGAGAGGAAGCCATCTCGTGCATCCAATGATTTCTTCCACATCACTAGCGTGATGCTGAAATCATCAGTACCTTTGAGGAATTTAGTCCATCGTTCATACACCTCAACACCAACCACGTCCAACTGTTATCATCCACGACTCCTAAATGACCGTATTCCACATTTTGACTAGGCGCAAATAACCATAATCGTCTCCATCAATTTCACAATACATCTTGGAATTCACGCACCCACTCAACTTCGTCTTCCGCCAGGTTAACAACTGTTCATCATGGCATCAGGCGCTCCATCATGTTCGCTTCTACGTCTTCCAATAGAACTGCGCTACGAGATCTACGATTATCTAGGTCGCCGGGACTTTAAAAGTTATCCACTCCGCACGATGGCAGTCACGTCTATCGATCGAACCGGCCCACCAACAGCGCTACTTGTTACTTGTCGCTATCTCTGCGACGAGATTCGCGCCTACTTCCTCCCAAGGGTCACACTGGGATTCGTCCAACAGCAAAAGCCAACTCTCCAGAGTATTGATCCAATCTCGCTCAGTGTCATCGAGAGGGCAAAAAAAGTTCATGTAAGGATGAGTTGGTGGGAAATCCCAGGGACTGCCAAAGATTTCCGACACTGGCCATATCGCGTGAATGGGTGGCTTGCGGACCTGGTCAAAATGTTGCTGGAAAAGGCCAAGAGCTTGGAAGTTATCACAATGTCTTTCGATGAACCTACCTGGGGTACTGAGTGGGAGCAGAAAGAAAAGACACTGGCTCCACTAAAGGACATTGCCGGGCGGGTAAAGTTTCGATTAGGCGAGGTGGAAGCTGGCGAGGAGCTAACAGATGAGGAAGAGGTGGAAGAAGCCAAGTTAAAGGGACCGCACAGTACGTACAACAAGACGGTCGGAAAGGAAGCTGAGTTGAGGAGATGGCTGGGTGCATACCTAGAAGAACTCAACGCGGTTGCGTTGCCGGTTGTCAGCTCTTGAGGTGGAGCGTAGCTTTCGTGATGGTTTGAGTTGGAGTCGCACTACTAGATCCGATATCGTCCAGTAGCATAGAGCTCTACTAGTCATGATATTCAGAACTTACGTTCTGCTTCGCTCTATCACATACCCTGCACCGCATCATTCGTTGTCTTAATCCCTTCATCTTGTCGCCTGTATCTAATATGTCTACCGACTCCATCGGCACTGTCGCTGTCACTGTCACCCCCGTCTACTATACACTCGTTCTCTCAGTCCACGTTCTTCGCTTTGCTTATTATAGACAAGAGTCTATTGACATGCCGGCGTCCAGTCTCAGCTCGCTCTCTATTGGTCTTACGCACCTTGAAGGTCATCAGCAACATCTAGCACTTTCGCAGTCACCACCCGCTCTCATCTCTCCCTATGCACCTTCATCGCCGCTCTACTGGAACCTTCTTGCAGTCAGTCCGACATCGCAGGCCAACCAGGTAGCTCATCATAATAATTCGCGCGCTTGGCCCGTGCCTCAAGTTGATATCGCGCCCCAAAAGCCGCCTTCACCTGGTACCGCGCCCACATCGTCCACCAAATCGCCTGCCTGGAACCTTCTCCAGGCAGCGAACTACCCACAGACCACGCCGCTTCATCGATTCTTCGGACTCGCTAAGCGATTGCCGGCGATCTGCCGACCCTCCTCCTGTCTATATAAACCCCCCTCCCCCACCACTCTCACTCCTTCTCCCCACTCGCTCCATGAAATCGATTCTCTCAACCAAGTCCACTTTCAGCACCATGGCCTCACTGTCCAAGTATGCCATTCCTTTCCTCACTTCCACCTCATGTATCGCTAACACTTTCAGACCTTGGCCAAGATCTCATGATGTATGACATCATTCATCACCAACAAACATCATGATATCAGCATCACTTCCACCCCCACTCGGCTGTCGACAGTCTCGATGACTTCAATACCCTTCCATCATCTCGCCTCGCCTTGATCAACATCAACATCGCCGCCTCACACATGCCTCGTACATACCCGCCTCGGTTCAACATACATACCTCGCTTCGATTCGGCCTTCAACTACACTGACACACATGTCACTTTCGGTCTACCAAACTCCCACATCGAACACACACCGTCTCATCAACATGCAACACACCGACGGCATCCCGGCATAGGCACCAACCTCTCTGGCACCGGCTCCGGTTCGACTGTCGACAGTCTCACGCCACTCCCGATACCGATACACTGCACATGGAAAGTCAAGTTGTGGCAAAGGGATTCAGGACAGTCTGCATGGTTGGCCCTTGAGTTGGTTGCGGTTTGGATCAGAAAAATAAAGTGGTGTTGAGTCGGTATCATTGAAGGTCAACATTCACACATTGGACGTTTCAACCATTTCGACATGCATCGAGCAACAAGGTTGGAGGACAGACGGTCAATGGTGCTTCGGCGCTAAACCGGGCCTCTTGTTGTCTTCTCTGAGGGTGTTGCGGCCCCTGGGATAGTTGAACGTCTAGGTGTGGTGTTGGCTGAAGATGATACTGCTTTGCTCACTAGTTGGATGGACTATGGTTGGCCTTGGTGGTATCTGGAGGCCTTGGTGGTTAGATGGTGCAAGGTTTTCAGCTTGAAGGTTTTCCAAGCTTGGTCACAACAAGTGTCTCTCAAGGAAAGGTTGGAAGGGCGGCTGGCAGTCAGATCCTCATATCAATTAAACCAACTTTGTCTCTAACACCGAGGAAAAGTTATCTATAAATCTTAGTTAACAGCTTATACATTACATTCCTTCCACAGTCTACGCTAGAATAACTACTATAAATTATTCTCTCTCCTTGATGCTTCTAACTTCTTTATCAATGCCTAGTACAAAATGTTTTATAAGTCACTTCCGCTTATTGTATGTCGCAAGGAGATATCTAGGAGTCTTAAGAAACTAACATTGCTTTGTTTTCTCCTTTACAATGTTAAAGCGGTGTATCGCTTAGCTGCACGGTCTCTATTAATGTCGCCTAAGAGCCGCTGTAAGCAAAGTCCTACCTGTAAGCTGTTTGCTTTTGTAAGAGAGTAGGATTAAGAGAGTAGGATTGAGTATGCTGTTCTGCTAAGCAAGAGTCGCGATTGATATCGCGAGGTATTATTGTGCGATATGTATGTCGGAAATATGTAGGGTATTCGGTCTATGTGGTCGCAAAGGCCGGTACGGTTTCGTACAATAACGCTATCATGTGGTACGCTAAATAGATGAACGCCAACATATAGTCGGAACTTCTAGGAACACGCCTCCAGAGACACCCTAGGAAGGAATTAATGCATCTGCGCATCAACTACTACTGCATTCCTTTCGCACCGCTCTTTAGTATGCGCCCAAAGCCACAGCCTCCCTAGAACCATCTCACTCAATCAATCGCGATCGCACTCTCCATAGAATCACCCCCCTTGTTCTTCCACCCTATCCCCACCCTCCCCCTCCTCCTCTTCACACCACCCATAAAATCCTCATGCTCTTCCATACCCAACGCCAACCACTCCCTCTTCAGCCCCTTCTCAGCGTACGCCCTCCTACTCTCCGCACTCCTCATACTATACGGCCCTCTACCCTTCTTCTTTCCCTCTCCTTCTCCAGCATCCCCTTCGCAAGAGTCCTTGTCTTCCATGTCCGGCGCTTGCCACCACCCACGCCCTTCAAAGTACTCAATGTTTAGGTGCTTGATTATGCGCTCGTGGGCCGAGGGGCGCGGGCGCATATATGACTCGTCGGTGGCTTTGGAGCCGAGGAGCGTGTGGATGTAGGTCTTGCGGGCTTGGACGTGCGGAGTGGAGAGCATGGTTGCGGTGCCGCCCATGCAGTGGTAGAGGCCGGTTGGTAGAGGTGGAAGGGTGGGATGAAGTGGGGAGGGCGTGAAGAGGTCGAGTTTCGAGAGGTGGGTTTCTTGGATTGCTTGGGTCATTGTCTGTGGGGATGTATTGTTAGCATTGCCGTCTTCTGGACAGGTGTTGGAGAGAGGAATTGGAAATGTACCATCTTTGGAAACTCGGCTTTGTCGCATTTGAAACAGCATACGAGTATCTTGTAGAGACATGCCTTCCTTTTACTGGGTTTCTTGCAGAAGTAACATATTTCGGCTAGCCATTTGCGGCGGCATGTGAAGACTCTTGCATTGCGCGGTGGCACAATGTCGGCATGGCGTTTGAGTAGGTTGCGCGCATATTCTTCGACCACGGCATTGAGTTGTTTGTTGGTAGCGGCGAGCGCATTGAGCGGGTAAGACGTGAGGTTGAGGTTACAGATGGGCTCGGCGTACGAGAGGATGTTGAAGAGAATCTCTGGTGGGAGGGTATCGAGACCGTTCATGTTGTGGGGTAAGACAGTCGCGCGACGACGATTAGGGTCGCGATGAGATCAGCCCTGGGTTCGCGCGGCTTTAAGCGGAGATAAAGCTAGTCACCCTTTCACGCGAGCGACTGGCGACTTAACGCGTCCCACCCCTCTCACCTCGTCTGTGGATACCAAAGAGCTCAGTGTCGGGAGGCTATCGGTTCAACATGCCTTTGTGACTCTCTGCGCCTCCATGGAGAGCCTTTGCGTCCATGTGCCAAGTGATCATCTGGGTATACAAACGCGCTGAGTATCGTCGAGCCTGACCCTTTTAGAAGCAATTCGGGCTCTCGGGATACCTCTTACCTGATACTTAAAGAGCAGCAGTCGTCTACGTTTTGCGAGAACATGAGCATAGGCCTCAATTGGCGGTGTACTGACGAAGCTGGCAGCGAACACCTTTGGCGAACCCTACTGCCCGTCCTATCATTCTCATGCTTGCGTTGAGTTGCTCGGAACGTGCTTCTTACACTGTTTATGCTAATAGATGCTAGTCATCGGACATGCCAGCTCGTAACAACGAGCAATTCTCCTCATCTATACGTTTCTCCCCCGAACGGTCCCGACCAATCTTTGCCGAGTTGACTACAAAAAGAGGATCAGAGGTTTAGACCCGCACGCACATGGGCTCAAATATAATAGGAAATGCTTGCGGAACTAGCTGAACGTCACAAAGGCCGGGGACGTCTCCCATGTGCTTATAGCAGGTCATGTCTCACAGTAAGACAAATTTGACTGGATCCTGGCTGTAGACTGGATGGTTTTCCGAAATACAAGCTTCAGAAGCCCTTCTGAACCTGCCAAGAGCACAAGAGCTTTCTAAGCGACTCGGAAAGGCAATAAGTACACAGGCCATATGCTGGCAAAGCGGGCGTTCGACTTGTAATCGTATAAAGGAATATGCCTCCTGCTTACTACACCAAATGACTTCCACGACTCCAGGCATAAAGGTTGTAAACGTAGCCGATGTGGCTCATGGACCAGGGATTATGGGAGGGCTGGGCCGGGCCCGTCTGGCGAAGGATGACGGCGGCTGGCTCCGAAGATGTTGGAGTGGCCTTGAGGCATCATCCCACGCGAAAGTTTATTTTGAACACGCGCTGCATCAGCCAGGCAATAGGAGGCATGCCACTTTTCGCCACAGTGGTTCGCGATTGGTAAGGTTGCACTGCCATGCCGAACGGTCATTGGCTTGCACTGTCTCCAGCCTCTGTTCGATGAGGCACAAATGAGACCCGTCGGTGATTGGGTCTGCCTTGCCAGGTAAACGGCTGCTTAGTTCTTGACCTTGTGGGTTGTTAGGCTGATCAGCTAGCGTACCCGGTATGCCGGTAGTCGGTAGTCTGAGCCTGCCGGCCCGCTCTTTCGACATCATGCACAACATGCTCTGACGTCCCCAAAGCTTTGCGAACAATGTGGGCAACTTTGGCCTTCGTTCACGCGCGATATATCCCGCAACAGTGCCCTAGCTCTTCCAACTAGTAAGCACGTTTGTCCAGCTTCTGAGACCACTTACGTGCTTCTATCTTCTTGCTGGAGCACTTATGTACGGACAGGACTGGCCCGGTCCGAGTGACTAACCCCGGCATCTATCTTTACTGGTGTACTACGAAAAGGGCCGATGCCCTTTCTGGGGAACTAAGTATCCACTTTAGTCTCCTGCGGGACGATTACCGTTGGCCAGCGAGTAAGTCGTTCGACTAGATAAACTCTGGGGAAAATCAAACTAGGAATACGCATCACATGCCTCCGCTAAAGGCGTGTAGAACGCCCGAGGGCCAGGGGCACAGACACCTTACAGCCTGAGGTGGCAACGGTGTTCTCGAGGAATAGAGTGAGGGACCTCTTCTGTACTATTAAGGAGGAACCATCGCCTCCGCCCATTTGAAAACAAGTGACCCTCTGCTCCCCCTTCAGCTGACTACCAGACTCATCGTCCTAGGTCATCATCTTGTCTAGTCTTTGGTCGATTCCGCTGCTGTTCAAGTGACCGTACGAACATTCATCGGCTTATTGTTCGCCCTTGTTCTTATCAAGATCCTTTCGCTGTTTTTGGTAACCTAGGCGGCGTCCTTACCTCCGGAGCCCGTTCTCAGACATCTTTCGCTACACATAACCTCCTTACATATCCCGTCAGTCCACTGCACAATAAGATGAGCCGCACTCAGCGCCACTCTGGCGGCAGTACAGGCGGATCGCGCCGTAATGGTGGCGCTGAAAGCCGTGAGAGCCATCGTGGAGACTCGCACGGAAATGTAAGAAAGAACGGTCACACATACTGAGGCTCACCACTAACAACGGGCAGCATCCCACATCTACCTCGACTTCAAGAAACCATACCTACGATCCGAGCAGAGACCCAATATATACCCAAGCGCCGCGCCCCTCTAGGTCCAATCACGCCCACCTTACCCAAGTGACCAACAACTCAGCTTTTGACACACAACCTCCCCCAGCACATCCTCAGAACCTACCGTATCGCCCCTACAATGCACAACACCAGTTTTTGACCAATCACTCGTCATCTCACCTTCGGATCTCGCCTTACGACCCCTATGGTAGGGATTTCAACGCATCGCAAGCTTTTCAAACCACATCCCCGGCTGGCGTTTTTGCACAGCCGGATAGCCAGCCATATTATCCTGCAACCGGCGGCTCCCGTCAGGATCAAGCTGCGGACCGATACGCCGACCCGTATAACACTGTTGGTCATATTAGACGTGACGGAGCGGTTTACGACCAAGAGGAGGAGTATGAGGAGTACAGACCGTATGGTTCGAACGTTCATCAACATGGACAACGAGGATACTACGGAAGTAATGACACATCCCGCTAAGTAACGACATGACGGTATGATCTTGAATGAGCTGAGAATTGGCTTTCTTTATATTTACATATTCTGGTTCTTTGGGGCGTTTATGGGTGGGCTGCAGTTCTGGCCCCAGGCTTGCATCCTTCGGCAGTGATTTTCGAGTTCGCATCGGCCTATCGACCTAGCGCTTACGATGTCATTTCTGACACACCTGAAGACGTTGAAGTGTTCTAGCTTCAGCCTTGCTTGCTTGGTGCGCTTCCCCCCTCCACCGGATGCATTCTTCTTCTTCTTTCGGATCTTGCCTTCTTTCCCATATCGACTGACTGGTACAGTCATTGTTTCTCTTATACATCATACACAAATCTTTGTAGCACATTAGCCAGTAGGTAGTTTGGCGTTCAATCTATATCCTTTGTTCAAATGCAACTCGATCGACCCCCATGACCTCTTCTGAACGTTGGAGACCTGTTGAAATTCTTCCATTCCCACCGGCTTCCCGAATTCAGATCCGACGCGGTTGAGCCGCATGATGCTGACATATCCGCCCGTCGGCGCAAATGACACATACACATTTCACCGGAGCTTCACCGGAATCGCTATCATCCGCAAGGCAACAACTCTATCGCTCACCGGACATTGATAAGGTAGCCGCCGCCGAAGACTCTGTCACCGGAGAGGCATGCGTTGGCCATGGTGAAACATGTTACTCCATTAGGTGTGGTAGCGCTATCAAGGAGATGAGGACCGTCATGAAATAAAGCTCTGTCAACCAGTCAATCACAGAAGGACTCGCACGCTTCTGCAACAAGTATTGAGTCCTTCTTGGAGGCGTAGATGTGACTCATATGCAGAACAGGAGGACCTGCCACGATCGACTCGCGTTTGCCGTGATGATATGTCGTCTAGACAAGAGTATGTAGATCCACTGATATGCTTCGTCCTGCATTTCGGCTATCATGCTGCAAGGCAAGGTTTATTCTGCCTTGTCCAGTCGGCCTAGCAGGTACATGTTTTCGCGTTCAGTCTGCATTATTTTCACCGATCAGAGCCCATGAGCCGATCTTCGCTTCACGTGTAACTCCAGCGCCCTACTGGAGGGCGCCGATACAAAGATCAGTCCAAAAAGTGGGCACGGCTATACACCCAGCACATTGTTGGTGCGACCTGAGGCTCCCGGGTAAATGATCTTGGCACGGTGGACCTGAGTACGTGCGGCGGAGGCGGATCTCATGGGGCGCTTAGTGTCAGCCGGCATTAATAACATGCAATGCAACTTTCCTGCCATTAGCACCTGCTGCAAGAGCGCAAGTGGAGCTCGTGGAGGACACCATGGATGCTACGACGCAACTCATGTCGAGAAGAAGCAACTCGCCAGAACAGGAACCATGTAGCGAGTCATGGTTCCTGCAGCGGCTTTGGGTCGAAAGCAGGGTCGCGCCTGTCACATCTGCCCTGGTAGGCCGTTCCAGTAGCCTGGTCGGAAGGGCTGTCAAACTGGCCAGACTTAATGTTGTGCTCGAGGTCTGATCAGCACATGGACTGCCCCCAACGTCTTTGTATGCTTTATTCGACTTTGTTCATAGCATTCGATGCGTTACTTCCGATGATTAACAATTTCGGCTGGTTCGAGATAAGATGACGATCAATGACGTGCTCTACCAAGGTGGTCTGTGCGCGGACTACGCTAGCATAAAGCGGGGAAGTACCTAGCAGTTCCCGAGATCCAGTGCGACGTCGCCTCAACTAAAGATAAACCTCCAAAGATTTCTAGAGAATGTGACCGTCCAACTTTGGCATTATGTGCGAGACCTGCTTCACTTTTGCTTGGAGGACTCTCTGCCTTACGGAAGGCTTGACACTAAGGGTATACGTAGTTGGGCGTCAATTCTGCATGCCTTGAGGCCGCCTGCAGCATCGTGACATACCATTTTCTGAATGGCGTTAAGAGTGGAGTATAATCTGACATCGAGGTCCTGCAAAAGGATCGGCGGCTTGTCAGCTGTTTGAAGGAATGCTCGCGCCGTTTGGAGGGAAACTCGTGCCGTGTACCGCCCCCTATGCTGATTCGAGAATAGCCACTGTCGGTCTCTTATCGTGACTGTTGTTGCTTGATGTTGGAGGCGGTTCATTGTTCCAAGACAGACCGAGGTTTCATAACGCG